ATTAGGAAGGTTGAGAACCACTGCACTAAAGGAACAACGCAGAGTCGGTAAGAAATGGGGAGTAGCGCTCCACTGAGAGACGTGTTCCTGGACAGGACAGCCCTGAGCCAGTGGGAGAGGGCTGTCCCCAAATTTGATTCTTATCTTCTCAGATAAGTGAATTCATATGAAACCTTGACTGCATTGTGGAAAGCCAATTTATTAAAAAATAATAAATTGAAAAAGCAAAGCAAGCAAGCAAACCTATGCACCTGGCTTATGAAGCAGAGAGGGCTCTCAGCTCATCAGAAGAGCAGGCTGGGTGGGGGCCGTTATATGCCCTCCTGGCAATAGGCTTCATCACTCCTCTGATGACTATGTTGATGCAGATTAATTCTCAAGGCCCCTTTTTTCACTCTGTGGTGGCCTTCCCAGAATTCATGAGAAGCACCTGGCAACTTTATCTTGCCAAGCCTGAGACTGCGGGCTTCTCTGCTTAGGAAGTAAGACTGCCTTTTTTTTTTTCCTTCCCTCTTTGCCCCCTCCGTTTCTGCATTCTCTCATTAGGGAGGTTTTTTAACATTTGCTCTGTGTTCTTGGCTGGGGAAGATAATGGCTTGTTAGTTATAAGCTGGCTGCAAATTGCCTACACTGCTTGGCCTTGTTTTAACGTTCTTATCTCAGTGTCCCTATTCCTCCTGCCCTGGGATCCTGTAGCAGAGGGAGCGCTGCTCAGCACGGGTCAGAGGGAACCAGCGGACTCTGTCTACCTAGGAGCTTGGGCCACACCTTCCCAGTGAAGGAGCACGTCCATTGTTCGCAGCTCAGCCAGAGAAGTTCTGACCACTGGAAAGGCCTTACTGTGGTGCAAACTGCTAAGTGACAGTGATATTTACCTATTTGTATAGTGTCCAGTACCCCAAATAAATGTTAAACGTATTTATCAGTTTCCTCTTTTTTTTAATCTTTAAATTCTTTATTAGTTAATGAATTACAAATGTGTCCTCATTCCCCTCCATTAACTCTATGGATGCATACAAGTCCTTCGGTTGATCTCTTACTCCCCTCCCTTCTGCCCCCCAACCCTCTCTGGCCTTCCCACTGCAGTTTGACAATCAGTTTGAGGCAGCTCTGCCTCTGTATCTATTATTGTTCAAAAGTTTGTAATGGTCTTTATTATCCATGAATGAGTGAGATCATGTGGTATTTTTCCTTCATTGACTGGCTTATTTCACTTAGCATAATGCTCTCCAGTTCCATCCATGCTGTTGCAAATGGTAAGAGTTCCTTCTTTTTTACAGCAGCATAGTATTCCATCGTGTAGATGTACCACAGTTTTCTAATCCATTCATCTACTGATGGGCACTTAGGCTGTTTCCAGATCTTAGCTATGGTGAATTGTGCTGCTATGAACATATGGGTGCATATATCCTTTCTGATTGGTGTTTTTGGTTTCTTGGGATATATTCCTAGAAGTGGGATCACAGGGTCAAATGGGAGTTCCATTTCCAGCTTTTTGAGGAAACTCCATACTGTCTTCCATAGTGGCTGCACCAGTCTGCATTCCCACCAGCAGTGCAGGAGAGTTCCTTTTTCTCCACATCCTCTCCAGCACTTGTCGTTTGTTGATTTGTTGATGATAGCCATTCTGACAGGTGTGAGATACTACCTCATTGTTGTTTTGATTTGCATTTCTTGGATGATTAGTGACTTTGAGCATTTTTTCATATGAATCTTGGCTTTCTTTTTTTTTTTTTGTTCTTCACTGGGGTGAGAGTGGGGGTCAGTTGCTGGGGCTACTATAAAGAGATGTCAATGGGCAGCCAGGACACCAAAGGAAAGAAGAGAGCAGAGTGACAGTAGCAGGGAGAAGAGCTACAAAAGGAATAGTTTATGAACTTGCACCTGGACTTGACATGACAGGCCATCCAGCCCAGTTCTCCCATCTGTCAAACACTGGCATCATTTGTAATTCTCTGGAGCATCACCAGCAGGTGAATGGAGGAGGGAAGAAAAAGAACAAAATAAACTGAACCAGAGACTCCCAGGCTTCGAGAATGGGCAGACTCCAACAGGAGGAAGTTCAGTATAAAATTGGGTTATGACACTAGTTCTTTCTTTAACACTTAAAAATGTTTTTACCTGATCAGTGTCTAAAAGAAACCAACGCAACTTCTGAAGGAGTTATTTCCTCATCCTCTATGGCCAGCTGGTTCCTTATTCATGCTTTTGGAGGCATATTCACTGAATATTTATTGAACACCTATTATGTGTCAGGCACTGTTCTGGATGCTGGAACAAAATGGTGAACAAAGCAGCAAGGATACTGGCCAACAGGGAGCATACAGTCTATAGGTGAGATAGTCAGCAAACAAACATTGATGTGACAGTGCTAAGTGGCAGGCTCTTAACGTGCAGTTCAGGGAGAATGGTGGTGGTGGTTTGGATTAGAGTGGCAAGTGAAACTGTGAGGCAGCTGGCAAAGGCTGGTGTGGAGTAGTGAGGTTACTGTTTTACAGAAGGTGATGAGGGAGGGACTTATTAGCAGGGGGATTCTGAGCAGAGACCTGAAGGATGTGAGGGAACAAAGCACATGCACAGTTGGAGGAGGGGTAGCAGACAGAGGGAACAGCAAGTGCGGAAGCCCTGAGTGGGATGTCCTGAGCATGTTGGATGTAGCACAGAGGCCCGTGTGGCTGCAGAGAAGTGGTGAAGGGAAGAGTGGAGGGAGGGAAGCCTGTGAGATGCAGAGAGCTAGACCTCGTAGTGCCTTATGTAGTAAAGAAGTAACCTTATTCAAAGAGGGGTCTGGCCTTTACCCTTGATGCTTGGGAGGTAATCATAAGGCCTTAGGTTGAATGTCTTTTTGCCTGGGTTCTTGGGCCACCCCAGATAGTCTAACAATGATTTAGGATGGGGCTTTGGGTCACATGGTGTCAGTTTGTGCCGGGAGCCGGTCCATCCTTGCTGCTTGACACAGTCGCTGCAGGGAAGAAACATCTGCACAGCATATGTTTCAAGGGACCTGGCGTATATGGCATACTGTTCTTAATATGTTTGCTCCCCTTCTTGGCGCTATGTGTTTTAACCAAGGTCACCTCTCCGAGAAAGGTTGTTTCCTCAGGTAGGGATTTTCCCCTGAAGTTAGGGAGGGAATAAAACCCTTAACTAAGTGCCAGGCGGGTAGTTAATCACTTTAACTAGGAACAATCACGCTTAAGCTACATAATCTTTACTCCCTGGAATGGAGATAAGAAACGCCTTAAACCTTGGAATAGGAATTGATAGGATTAAAATCAACTGGTATAAATACAGATGTAACAAGACAATAAAACACAGAACCTGGTTGGAGATCCTGGCTAGAGAACCTGGCTAGGCTGCTGATCAACTGAAAGCCGTCTCTGTGCCACTCACTCCCCGCCGACTCCGTCCACACCCTTGGGAACCCCTGGACCTACTGGGATTGGACCCCAACAATTGGCGCCCAAACAGGGACCCCTAGGTAAGCCCCCCTGCACTCGGGACGGATACTGCACCGTAGGGTGCTGCAGACCCCCCTATAGAGGATAAGTAGGGTAAGAGGGTGGATAGTACAGAACTTAGATTGAGAAGATGGGTCATACTGAGTCTAAAGAAAAAAGACTCTATTAATCTTTTAACACATATGCTTGCTAGCAGAGGAGTTAAGGTTACTCCCAGTCAGACAGAAAGTTTTATACAAGATGTATGTCAATGGCTTCCTGAGGATGGAACTGTTAATTTAGAAACTTGGACTAAAGTAGGAGAGCAATTAAAGAATTATTACAGATACCATGGATCTGAGAAGGTCCCGGCAGATACCCTTTCCCTCTGGAATTTAATTTGTGACACCTTGGCACTAGAGGCAGAAACGGTTGAACTTTCTCAACCTTTAAATAGTCCCTCCGTTCCTCCTAGAGAGGACACATCATTATTGTCTCCAGCTCAATCTAAGAGCAATTTAGCTATGCCTACGAATCAGACAGACACCATTATCCTCTGCTTCTCTGCTGCACCAACCTCTATGTCTTGCTTACATCCCGTTTGTTTACAGCCTATAAATTGGTGTGTCCATATAATCCAAGAAAATGGAAACTGAACAGCCAGAGGAAATCTTCCCCAACACCGAAACCAACGGTGAATTTGGTAAACGCCCTGCAGAAGATATGGAAGAGGAACAAGCTTTTAAAAGATCTAGGAACACTGATGAGATGGTTGAATTACGCATTCTGCTTCGGAGCAAGAATGCTGGGGCAGTGATTGGAAAAGGAGGCAAGAATATTAAGGCTCTGCGTACAGACTACAATGCCAGTGTTTCAGTCCCAGACAGCAGTGGCCCTGAGCGAATATTGAGTATCAGTGCTGATATTGAAACAATTGGAGAAATTCTGAAGAAAATCATCCCTACCTTGGAAGAGGGCCTGCAGTTGCCATCACCCACTGCAACCAGCCAGCTCCTGCTCGAATCTGATGCTGTGGAATGCTTAAATGACCAACACTATAAAGGAAGTGACTTTGACTTCGAATTGAGACTGTTGATTCATCAGAGTCTGGCAGGAAGGATTATTGGGGTCAAAGGTGCTAAAATCAAAGAAATTCGAGAGAACACTCAGACAAAAATCAAGCTTTTCCAGGAACGCTGTCCTCATTCCACCGACAGAGTTGTTCTTATTGGAGGAAAACCTGATAGGGTTGTAGAGTGCATAAAGATCATCCTTGAACTTATATCAGAGTCGCCCATCAAAGGACGTGCACAGCCTTATGATCCCAAATTTTATGATGAAACTTATGATTATGGTGGCTTTACAATGATGTTTGATGACCGCCGTGGCCGTCCTGTGGGATTTCCCATGCGGGGAAGAGGTGGTTTTGACAGAATGCCTCCTGGTCGGGGTGGGCGCCCCATGCCTCCATCTAGAAGAGATTATGATGATATGAGTCCTCGGCGAGGACCTCCTCCCCCTCCTCCTGGACGAGGTGGCCGGGGTGGTAGCAGAGCTCGCAATCTTCCTCTTCCTCCACCACCACCACCTAGAGGAGGGGATCTAATGGCCTATGACAGGAGAGGAAGACCTGGAGATCGTTATGATGGCATGGTA